CCTTGGTTTATGCTACTGCGGCCCCTCTCGGCTACCAGCAACCAGACACGTCCGCGTTTCTCACTTCCCAACACGCCGAGCACCGTACATGCGTTATCTCGGTTCAGTCCACAGCCCTGTGAAGATAGGAGTGTTTGTGTCCATCTGACAGATGAGGAAACTGAGGCACTGAGAGGCTAGAGTCACGCCGCTCGTCAAGGCAGAACCAGGAATCCAGCTGTGGCGTCTGGACTGTCCTTGGCCTTCCATCTGACCTCGTTTCATCTCCAAGAAACCCCGAGAGGCCCAGCTGGAGTGACCAGAGGTCTGAGGGTGGTTTTGGCGATGACGGAAGGGACAGGAGGCCCGGGCCACTGTGGGTGGTGGGGCAGAGAGCAGGTGGAGGGGGCCGCCCCGGTGGAGGGATGGGGGAAGAGGTGACAGCTTGAGGTCTGCAGTGAGCACAGGGGCTCCGGGGCAGAGCCCCTTCCCCAGACCTCGCTGCATGTCCCTCTGCACAGCTGTTGGGGATGGCCTGGGATCCCTCTGCCCCTTGTGAGAACAGGCGTCCGTGAATGGGGAGAAGCTCCCACCGCCATCCAAACTGCTCCCGACTCAACTCTTCTCTGAGTGAAGTGGCGAGGGGTAGGAGTCCTTTACCGACATCAGCATTTAAACTCTATCTCCTTTCCTCTGAAGTTTCCAGCCGTTCGGCCAGGAGGAATTGTTTCCATAATTACATTCAACTTCCGGCATGCTACTGGCTGAAGTTGGAATGACGCTGAGTCAAGCAAAGTGAGAAACGCAGCCCGTCTTCCTGTGTGCGTGTACACACATGCACGTGAGCATCCACTCATAGACTACACTTCCCTCCACCCGGCCTCCGTGTCCTCATTCGGCAGCAAATAAAAGGACCACTGGGCTGCAGCTCAAATCCCTCCTAAGCGGAGGGAAATCCGGGTGTCATGGTTTCCAGAAAGGGAACACGATCTCCGTATGGGGTGTAATTACATCTTAGCTTTCTGCAGAAGAATAGTTTATGGCTTAAATGCTATTAATTGTAAGCCGTTTTGTTCCACGGGAAGTTGTTCATTGATAACTACCCAATTAGGGTTATTTTGCAATTAGTCTATTCACAGTAAATTTATTGCAAAAGGGGGAGGCTGGGGTGCAGCAAATTAAAGCGTTGCCGGGGCTGGGTGTGCAATGGCTCTTAAATGCCAATCTTATTAAGCAGCTCAGAGGTCCCAGGAGGGTGTGTGCCACCCTGGCCAAGGCAGCAAAGGCCCCAGGGCAAACCCCTAGCACACGCATGCTGCAAAGCCATGCCAGGGCTGTCTGGAACTCCTGGCCTAACAGGGTGAGATTCTGGTTGTTCTGAACAGGTGTGGAGCATGTCCTACAGCAAATATACACACAATGCACATTATTGACCAGGCACCAGTTCTTAACTGTGTATATTTGGCCCTCATGAACCCTCTAAGATAGGTGTGATCATGCCCCCTCCCCTTTACAGATGGAGAAACTGAGGCACAGAGAGGTTAAGTAACTTGCTCAAAGCCCCACAGCTTCTGCAGGAGAAACCTGGGGTTCGAATCCAGGGGTTTGGCTCCACAGCCAGGCTCCTAGGCACTGGCAACATTAGTCCTCTTGCTCTACCACTTACGCCCTGCCTTCTCCCTCGCAACTCCACCGGCAACAGAGAGACAGCCTACAGGCAGCAGAACATCTCTGGGGCTTGACAACTGGAGCTAAAGTGAAGCCTTTTGCCTCCGGAAGAGAGACAGGCTTGTGGGAAAGGATACAGGCTCTGCACCACGAGTCCCAACCCCAGCTCTGTCACCTACTGGCCATGTGCCTCTGGGCAAGTACTAACCCTTTTGAAAAGGCTCAGTTTCCTCACTCACAAAATGGGTCTGTGGTAGACTTACTAGTGTGGGGACTCCGTGTGATGAATATGGAGTGTTGTATACAGTAGCACAGTTGCCCCCTGAACGTGAGCTTGAACTGCGAGATTCCACGTGCACATGGATTTTTTTTTTTTGCCTCTGCCACCCCTGGGATGGTAAGACCAATCCCTCCTCTTCCTCGGCCTCCTCAACAGGAAGATGAAGAAGATGAAGACCTTTATGATGATCCATTTCCACTTAGTGAACCGTACATGTTTTCTCTTCCTTGTGATTTTCTTAGTAACATTTTCTTTTCTCTCGCTTACTTTAGCGTAAGAATATGGCACATAATACAGTATATTAATATCATATAGCATACAAAATATGTGTGAATCAACTGTTTGTTATTGGTGAGGCTTCCGGTTAACAGTAGGCTATTAGTAGTTAAGCTTTGGGGGAGCTAAAAGTAGTATCGACACAGGGCGGTAGTATAATGGACATTGGAGAAACAAAAGTGGGGAGAGGCTGGGAGGGGATCAAGGAATGAAAAATTACCCGTGAGGTACAATGTACACTATTCAGGCCGTGGGTACATCCAAAGCCCAGATTTCACCACTGTACAATGTACATGTGTAACAGAATTCAACTTGTACCCCTTATATTTAATTTAAAAAGTAAAACAAATTTTCAGCTGTGGGGAGGTTGGCACCCCAACTCCCAAAGTTTTCAAGGGTCAGCTGTATACAGTAATGGTATTTAGCAAGGAGAAGCAAACTACAGTCCATGGACCAAATCTGGCCTATGGCTTATTTTTGTAAATTGAGTTTTATCAGAACATAACCAAATGCATTTATGTAGTCGTTTGTCGCTGGCTGTCTTTGCACCATGACAGCAGAGTTGAGTAGCTGTGGCAGAGACTGTACGGCCCACAAATCCTCAAATACTGTCTATTTGGTCTTTCACAGAGTAAGGGTGACCCCCTAACCCCGGTATACAGAAGGAGCCCAATACTGTTTTTGTGGAAGCACATTCAACTCCAGCCTCTACAACTTCCTTGCCAGGCACTGGTTAACAAAAGATCTTGGAAACGTTGCACTCCATTTAATTATTCCTACATTCTACGTGCCAAATCCAATCAAGAATACAGACGGGAACCACCTGGACCACTTAGACAAGGGTAAAACTGCACGGGAGTAATGAAGCTTTTCTTTTTCAATCTTTCCATGTAAAAGGAAGTGGTGTGGAGATGCACATTTGCTACTAAAAACTCAACAGACATGCACGTGAGCACAAAGTTAACGTTGTCCCTGCGGAGGGGCCGGGTGGAGCGTTCGCCGTGCCTCCTCCCAGCCCTCTCCTTGGGCACCTGGCGCACGCGGCCGCCCTGCCCAATTCTCGTCCTCGTTCTGGGACATGTGGTGAACACAGAGCACATGCGGACACCTCTAATGAGCTGAGTGACCTTGTGTGAGTCTCTTCCCCTACATGGGCCTCATGTTCTCACCTGTCCAGTGAGCCAACTGAATGAAGATTTCGCCAAGGGGTCCTTCCTAGTCTACTTTTCTTGGAGCCATTCACACCGTGCACCTCCCCATGTCCTTAAGATGTGGACAGTGGCCTGGCTCCTGAATGCAGCGACACAGGGGAACCCAAAGCTTCCCTCCTCTGCGGTTGGCTCGATTTCCTGGCCTTCTTCTGCCTGGACATTGAGGAGGACCTCGCACCTCAGTGGGCCCTCCTGCCCCACTTGTTAACCCGGCTATACCTCCTGCCTCCAGCTAGGTTGTTCCATGTGTCTGTCCCCTACCCAAGCCCCCGGGAGCTCCGGTTGCCTCACAGTTGGCCTCTGCGACAATTTAAGGGTCTTTTCTCCTCCACTTTGGAGTGAACAAAAGCAGTTGTTGGTATTTTGATTTAGAAGTCATCGGGAGGTATTGTGAACCCTCAGCTGCTTTGTGAGAGACCACTGGGCACGCCTCGTGTCATGGCCATAATAAAAATGAGGGGTGACCATCAGCAATCTGTGAATCACAAGCTGTGCGACCCTGGGGAAATGGTTTTGCTTCTGTCATCTGGATACAACTGGCAGCCTCGCAGGGTGGCGGATGTAAAGAGCTAAATGGATGCACAGAACCTAGTGCAGTGCCTGGCACGCGATGATGCCTGGAAGGTGCAAGTCACTACCACTTGGTTTGGGGGAAGACAAAGAGAACCACCTAGATGGAGATGGAGACTGGAGGTGTGTCAGGGTTAACGAGTGGGGCAGGAAGGGGGCATGGTTTTAGGTGCAGAGACACACATGTGGCTCCCGCCTGGGTAAAACTGGCATTCCCATCCTCACGGGGCCCCTGCACTCTGCCTGTGAATTTCTTCTCAGAGCTCGGGTCCCTCCCTGCATCTCAGCAAATGACCTGGTTTATCACTGGGTCATCGGCACACAGAAGCATGCCCAGTGCACGGGAGAAGGGAAGGAAACGAGGAAGGAAGGAAGAAAAAAAAAAAGGAAAGAAGAAAACAGGAAGGGAATGAGCAATGAAGGGAAGAGGTAAGGGAGAAAGAAAAGAAATGAAAGAGAAAAAGGAAAGAAAAAATGAGGAAGAAAGGAAATAGGAAGCAAATGAAGAATAACTGGGGAGGAAGAAAAGGAAGGAAGGAAGAAAGGAGGGAGGGAAGAAAGGAACTTTAGATGGGGGAAAATGGAAAGGATTTTTTTCACAACGCCTCCAAAGTGAATGCAACCAATTAGAAACCCTCCAAACCATACGGAATGACAACAGTATCCATAACAATTCTAATCCCAATATCCTGCTGAGAGAGGATGCAAACCTTATCCATGCAGCCTCCTTGCCTCCTGCAGCTCCCACACCAGCCCAACTCCGCTCTAATTCTACCCTCTGCCTTAAAGACAATGGGTGAAAGCGCCTACAAGAGGTAATCTGATTGCGTAAAACTTTCCTCATACAAGACTTGGGAATTCAGGGAGTACTAGAACAAATCAGATTCTGTGTCCCGATGTGGGGTTTGAAAAATAGGTCAGCCGTTCTCAGAAGGTCTGAGGATGTGAGCGGGAGGAGGAAGTGGCAGGGAGTCACCTCCCCTGGCTCAGGGGCAGGTGGAGGGAGCAGAACTTACCGTCCAGGGGGCAGAAGCGGGTCACCTTCTCAGGCATCAGCAGGCCAAGCTTGTGGCGGCAGTAGGTCTCCCCGATCTCCTGGCGGCAGTGCTTGGACTTTGCGCGGGACAGCGCAGAGACGGCCTCCTTGCCGGAGATGTCACACTTGGGCGGCTGGTCGTACCTGGTCTCCGGGGAGCTGCCCCCACCCTTCCTGGCGTGGGGCTGTCTGGGGGCGTCCTTCCCACGGCTGCTGTTGGCCGCAGCTCTCTCGCCGGGAGGCAGAGCCTCGCTGGGGCCCTTCCCTTTCTCCTGCTGTTCCAGCTTCCTTTTCAGAAGCTCCTTCTGTCTACTGGGGGGCTTCTTGGCCAACTCGGGCTGGTGCTTCTGCTTCTGAGTCCTGGGTGCGAAGTTGCTGTTGTCCACGTTCTCAAAATCTTTGGGGACCGAGTTCTCGTTGTTGCTGTCTGTGCGTACTTTCTCTTTAGGCCGGTGAGAGAAGTAGCCGTGCTGCAGAAAGAAACACAGAGGGGGAACGTGACTGAGTGAGCATGCTAAGGAGCTTGGGCCTCAAAGAGTGTGGCGGGCACGTTTGGAAGTCTAGGCCACAGTTTCACATCCCACCTTCGCTACTGGCTGAAACTCTGGTAAGACTTTTCTCTCTGGTCCTCAGTTTCCCCATCTGGAAATAGGAAATGTTCCAACTAGAGATCAAGGCTTTTTTCAAGCTCCAAAGTGCCCTGACTACGCGTCTCAGTGCTTCTTAGTATAAACCACACCTTTTCAAGTAAGGCTCTACCCTTGACTGTCTTTGCCACTGGGTAGCAAACATTTTGTTTTGGTTTCCTGTCTAAATTCCAGCAGAAAGTGCTGTGATGGTTTATTTACAGGCTGGAAATGGCATCATAAAGTTATAAAGGGAAAAAAAATACTGGTAGGATATTCTATACATTCCATTGCCTTTAGGACATGCTCATATATCTATGCCCAGAAGAGAAATCAGATTCAGCCACTGTAAATTCCGTGGGAAAGACACCATTAGCTTTTTTTTTTTTTTTTTTTTAAAGAAGGGAATGCAGACTTTGCAGAATAGACAGAAGAAACGTTACAATGAATCCCAGGTGACCTGCAAACCTGTGACACTCTTGTGCTTGAGCTCTGGCTCTTGAGGTTTGTACCTGGAGCAGAACTGGTTAGGTCACCTGGGGTCAAGAGAAAGCCAAGGGTCAGGAGTCATTCTGGAAACAATGCATGGCATGGATCTTTCCAGAAAAAGGCAGCACTCCAAACTCAGCTCCTCCATGGGTAGGCAGTTCCTAGTCACTTGGAGTTTGGATCAAATGCATCATTCAACCAACGTCCCCAAATCATTTCTGAAACATTTTGCTTCTGCTGGAAGCCCATTCCCAATGCCTTAACCCGAAAGCATATTCGCAGTCCCAGAACGTGCCCCTCGACCTCAGAGACCACAGAGAACACTAACTGGCTCCGCAATCCGTCCGTGTTGCTACGGGAAACACGCGGGCAGTGAGCAGCATCCCTGTCACTTTTCCTTTTCCAGGAGTGCTGAAATATGCCTCTTACCAGCTCCCCAGGAAAAGGATGGGGGGGACTGAAGACGGGTGCCATGCTGGAGCCTGAGAGCAGCTGACACTCAGCCAGGTCCCCACTCCAGCAGGTTAGCAAACCACCGCGACCGTGGGCCAAATCCAGCCTTTGTTTGTTTTTGTAAATAAAGTTTTATTGAAACACAGCCACACCTGCTTATTTGTGCAGTGTCTATGGCTGCTTCTGTGCTTGCAATAGCAGAGCGAGTTGTTAAAAACACAGACTGGCCTGCAAAACCTGAAATATTTCCATCTGGCCCTTTAAGAAAAAGCATGCAGACCCCTGCTCTACCTGCAGGAGTGTGAATTTAGAAGCCCCCTTTGAGCCTCTGCCCCCATCGCCCCCAGCATCAAGCACCAATTTCCTCTATTTGGTGGAGGCTGTAAGAATGGCGGCTGACACTAGGGTACCTCACGGCCACTCTGTAAATTGCATATTGCTATTAATATTATTCTCATTTCACAGACAGGGAACTGAGCATCTGTTCGCAAGTGATTTGCCCAAGGTAACCTAGCTAGTTGGTGACAAAGCTGAAGTTCAAACCAAACAGACCACAGGCCCCCTTGCTCTGGGATGCCAGCGACACCATCCACTTCCGAGGAGCTGTGGGGGACTTTTCAGACCCGCCACCCTACCCACGTAAGCACTGCGGCCTGACTCTGTAACACAAGCTCTGGCCCCTTCCCACCCACCCCCACTCTGCTAAAAGAATCTACTGTAGGTGTGCAACCTCCAAACGGCCATCTCGAGGCTGGCCTGTGGCCTATTGTGTGGCAGGGAGCCACAGAAAGAGGACAGTAAGCAGTGGCCATGATGCACTTGGAGTTTGAGGTGGCAGGAGCTGGGAAACAGAAAAGAGAAGGAAGAGCTGAGTCCATACTGGGTCACAGCGTGGCCGCTGGTCACTCCTGGGGGCTGCGATCACATCCTGATCCATAGATGAGGGTCTTCTAGCTCCTGCAGAGACCGGCAATAAAGCACACTCAGAGAGGTGCCTAGAATGTATTTCTATTCTTGCAACCTAAACAAACCCTGCTGAAATTCTTCTCTTCCCTTCTTTCTATCCAGAGGCCCTTGAAGAGTCCCACGCAGCCTCTCAGACACATTTTCTGAGCACTCACCACGAGCCAGGCGCCAAGTAAGTGACTCCCAGCTGCTACTTACTGGATACTGACAACTGCCCTGTAAGGAGCTGCTCTCTTTGCCATTTTACAAAAAGAGCAGGTGAGGCTTGTTGTAACGTTCTCGGATAATGTATCACATGCTAGGAACCGTGCTAAGCTCTTACACACAATATCTCACTTAAACTCCAGAAACAAGTTCCAGGGCAGGTACACTGCTGTTCTCCCATCTTACAGAAAAAGCAAGGGAAATGGCATGTTAAGTAATCTGCCCAAAGTCATCTAGGGAAGGCAGTGAACTTGCATCTGTTTTATTCTAAAGTTTGGCTATGCTATGATGCTTCTTCTGCTCTGCTAAGGGGCAAATCACGAAGCATTCAGCTCCCACTTCCCTATGTGGGTAGTGGAGGGGGTATCACCCTCTTTGCTCATAGTCACCTATGTTGGGATGCAGCTGAAAGAGGCAGGGGTGGTATTTACTAAGACTCTTCACCAATATTTCCGTTTCCTTCTGAGGACGTGATAGGACTATACTTCTCCATCGCCTGCAAATTAGATACAGCCAAGCCACGTGCTGTGGCCAAGAGCAGTCACTGAAGCCAGGGCACAGTGTGCCATGTTCCCCTGCCTCGGTCCAGCACCGGCCATGCTCCTGCATCTCTGAGTGAGACCAGCGTGGGGCAGGGACTCCGCCAACCCCCAGTGTGCAGAAGTGAACCTCTGCCGCTTGAGTCCCTGAGATGAGGGGATCTTTGTTACTGCAGCATGATCTAGCTCATCCTGATTAATACAGGTGCTCACCTGATCTGCTTTCTTCCTCCTACCTGTCCTCAGGTACAGGAGCCATTTTCCCCCTCATTTTTTCCTCCAACACACAGAACATCAGTTTACGACTCCTACTCTTCAAGAACATAAATTTAAATCCCTTCTCTAAGCCTGTTTTCTAGAACTTAAGGAGGAGGCAAAGAAGAGCTAGTGCCCTGACGGACACCTCCTAAGTGTTGTTCTTGGGCTCTTCTCTTTTCCTTGTTTACAGATGGTCACCAAGTGCGGCCCTCGAGCAGAAAACCTCTTCAAACCACCTATGTCAAAAGCTCACACTGCTACCACTTTCTGGCGGAACGTCACCAAGCAAAACCAGCCCCAGGAAACAATGTGATCGTCTCCCTCCACCCCACAGCCAGCTGACAGTCAAGGAAGGCTGGTCCCTCCGGCTGACGAGTGCTGTCAGGAACAAGAGCCGCCATCAATTCCAAAGACCCAGGATCAATACCCACCACCTATGGGAGAAGAGCCACCACAGTGGGTTTGATCTGGTCGGTGTGGCCCTGTGGCCCTTCCACCTGTCCCCAGAAACTACTCGGCTGCCTCGGGAATGCAAAAGATTCGTGGATAAGGGGGAAGGAAAACGTCCCGTTTTCTGGAGCGAAGAACTCGCAGATATTAGCTTCCAGGGAAGTTAGTGAGAGGCACGGTTAGCAACATTCGGGCAACACGTGGAGGCCTGAGAGTGCCCGTCCCTTGGTGTCAAGGCCGTTTCCTATAGTGATGGAGGAGTTCTCCCTCACCTTCCCTCCCTAACTCTTTTTTAGTTAAAAAAAAAAAAAAGTTATTCTCTTGTGGGCAGTACACTTACCATGAGATCTACCCTCTCAATAAACGCTTAAGCGTACACTACGTTACTGCTGACTGCAGGCCACTGCCGCAGAGCAGGTCTCTGGGGCTCGCTCGTGTGGCATGCACGGCTGAGACTCCATGGCCCTTGATGAGCAATTCTCCGTTCCTACTCCCAACCCCCCGCCCCAGCCCCTGGCAACCTCCATTCCACCCCCTGGTTCTACCATTTTTACTGTCTTACATGCCTGACATAAGTGGAATCGTGCAGTATTTGTCCCGTGACTGGTTTATTTCAGTTAGTATGATGTCCTCGACATGCGTCCGTGTTGCTGCCTAGTGTAGGATTCCCTTCTTTTTTAAGGCAAAATAATATCGATACTTTGTATGTACATGTCACATTCTCTTTATCCACCGATGGACATGAGATATCAGTGCACTGTCCCCTGACTCTTCATCTGACTACAGGGCTCAGCTTTTCTCTCCTTCCCCTGGAGACCTGAGATCCAGAAAGCCAAACCCAGCACCCCCATCCCTGAACAAAACCCAGCTAGGAGGTTTCCGGGCAGATCCATATGGGATAACTATCAGGTGGCCAGCACCCATGTGCCCCCATACGCTGGCCCTTCACACACTCCATGTCCTTGCATCCTCTCGAAAACTCAGTGAGAAAGGCAGTTTTAGTCCTCTTTAGGGGAAGAAGCTAAGGCCCTGAGAGGATGAATGCATGTAAAACTTCTGGAATGTGCCCACCACCGAAAGCAGGGGGCAAAATGAGTAGTAAACGCAGACAAAGCGACTCTACCCATTCACACAGGGCCTCGACCATCTCGCCCCGAAGGTCCCCGCCTGCTGGACAGATTGGCTACTGTTTCTCCATTATGATCAACTAGCCTTGTCCTCTTTGTTCTTACCCAATGCATCTCTCTCACCTTGAGTTATTTATGCTAATGCAACCCTTTGACTTATTTTATTTTAATGTACTTATTACAATGATTGCACATTCAAATGTTTTCGTGTCAGCTCCAAAACTCTAATTGCTCTGCTGTTGCCTTATTTCCAAGCTGCTGCTGGAATCCATTTTTTTATTCCAGAGCAATAATTAAATGCAATAATACCCTCCGTTCCCATTCAACCTTGGGCATGTTTAGAGCCAATTTCAATCAG